GATGGTTAAAGTAAGTTGGTAAAAGAAATTACAAAGTAGTTTTTGTTTGCATTCGACACAAACTTATCAGAGTAAGTTGAATGTTACAAGCAGTACCGGTAATCAAAAAGTGTACATTAAAAAAAGAACGAAACATGTGCTCAATAGGGTAATCAGGTACGCTTACCCTGTCGACGCACACAGTCTCGCACCTTTTGGAGTTTATGCGATTGTCTCAGTTTTTGTTTGCTACCTTGATTTGTCTCTTCCTTGTCGATTTACGAGATTTGAACATCTGTAAACTAGTGACGCCTTAATTCATTTTGATGAAACGCGCGTCTGGCGTTCCAAATTATAAGCTTGGTATCTTTGAGTTTTTACAACTACTTGGTCGATAAATGATGATGGATGTTCGTCCCCAAGGGTTACCAGCCCAGTAGTCAGCACTTTTTGTGTTGACATGAAATATCATTTACTGTAATTTTACTGATTATATAATGTTTAATTATTGGGACCACTTAGATTTTTAACCCAAAACATAAAATGTCTTAACCGGATTTAACACAACGTTTCGATATTTTCGGGTTTAATGCTCTTTAATTCGTACTTGAATTCCAAATTTTTTTATTTGATCGCCACTGGTGAGTCTTTCGTAGGAGATACACCCGTCTGGCGTACCGAATAATAACCTGATATCTTTGACGAGTTTTTGTACACAAGGAACACGTTTAATGTAATGAAATCTTAAGTGATAACTTAGGAACAAAGAAACCATAACCTTTATTCACATGTGTATATGTCATATGTTTTGCATCTAATATTCTGACATTAAAAACTGTGTTCCTTATATGACAGTCAAGACTCAAAACATACCGAATGTGGTGCCTTTTAAATCTTAATGCACACATTACTTCCGAGTACCTCAGATATAAACCATGGCTGATTTCCAGGAATCACTCGCTGATTCTCATAACAGTGTGTAGTTTCTTATCTTAAATCTCTGATAAATATCGTAGAAGAAAATGAAACTTTTAAAATGATAAAACACTCCAAACGGAAAGAATATATAAAATAAAATTCTATACATGTGTTTTCCATAAAATTCGAGTTCGTGGCTTGCTGACATACCATACGACGCAGAAAGAAAGGAACCTATACTCCAATATCCTAATTGAATTACTCCTATGGTAAGACATATGTTTCCTATCGACAAATACTGTATTCTTTCTCTAATTTTCTGTTGGTAATTGTTAATTTGCAGAATGAAAGTTGTTTGCAAAAAACATAAAATGATAAAGGTAATTTCCATATAAATGGCTAGTATTCGAATAATTGGATTGACGTTGTCTGTTCTGTAGATGTTATTAAACAGAGATAAAGTAATGAAAAACATGAACCCACTGGCTCCAAATAATAAAATACAATGCACAAATGAGTATGAACTTATTTTGTCCAGTCTATGACATTCAAACGGTATCAAATAAAAGCACCTTATCAATAAGCAAATAAGTAGTGTGTTTGAAAAACAATAACAAACAAGAATTTCTAAGGTATATCGGTTATAGGCAAAAACGTCAAGTAGTTTAAATATCATAATTGGCAATATAATCAGAAAGCCAAATGTAGCCGATAACAATCCAGTGTGTACTGCCCTTCTGTTAATGATATATCTATTTTGGAGTAATAACGGTGTCGAATCAGAGGATGTATTACTTTTATGTACGTCACAAACGCCTCTATTCTGTTTTTTCGGCCAGAGTTCAAATATGAAAATACAACAAAGCAAAACGTATTCAATGGTCATAGGTTCCAAAATTGGTCGAGATCTATCATATAGAGTTTTAGCAGAACTATTCTTAGTACAAGTTCTATTCGTTGAAGGATTAAACAACCAGTTATGAGTATGGCTTACAATTACAGTAAAATGAGTCCAGATTGATATGTTTGTAACAGATAATACGGCTAACGCCAAATAAACCCAAACGAATTGAGAAAATTGTTGCCGAGATGTTAATTTTATGAAACAGGTTTGAGTAAGGAAGAACAATAAAAGAACTATTCTTGTTACAAAAACCGTACTAGTATGTGTTTCTGTCAAATCCCGACAGACGTGATCGTAAACACATTCACATATTTGATTTAGCGCACTCCCGAATCCAAACACGTAAAGAAATTTCAACTTAAGTCCAACAGTGTTATCTGTATGGTCATTTGCAACAACATGGCGCCCGTTTAGAGTTATACCAACGACTGAAACACATGATACAATTGATAACATGCATAGAATTATCAATAAGTAGAAACCTGATATAGCATAGTCTGATGTTTCTTTGAATTTCGATGATGTTACAAACATAACACAACTTGAGCAAGATGCAATAACAACTCCAAAAACGACCCCATGAATATCATAGTCATATGCTCCCATATTTCTCTCCATTTTTGTGGCAGGGAGTTCAACTATAAAACAAATATTTCCCAAGCTTTGTTTAGTGTGAGAACGGAAGTGAAAATTTAAAGCGTTGTACTTGAACTTCAATAAAGTGGAGATTGTAACAATTGGTCATATATCAATATATATATATATTCACAATATACTTTCAAATTTAAAAGTAAATTCTACTTTGATTTAAAACCTTTGTACTGAATTAAAGAGATAACAATCAACATTAAACAAAAAACAAATAAACAATTATTTAATAAAGATGTTGGACGATATTTTGTTAAATCTGCAAAATTGAAGGTTTTGATATTTAAACATTCAATTAAGTCAGTTAATGCCTTACGAATCTGATTAAACCAACTAGTGAGGCAGACCTTATCTCAATATCATCTAATTCGAATTCATTAATATTTAGTGTAGTATCTGAGATTTTCAAAATGACTTTAATTGTGGAACTGCATACACCGGAAGACATACCTAATCGTAATATTTCAAACTCGCTATAAACTTGAATTATGAAGGAAAAAAAACCAGTTTATTTTATTGTCTGTCCTTCTCCAGCGTAGTGTCTGTTAAATTTATTCACTTCTCTCTAGACGCATAGCGTTTTAGTGTTTGTCGTTGACACATGACCCACGAGTCCTTTTATTCATACTCATTCGGACTTCTGATTTATCTTCAATGAATTGGCAGTGCAAATTACATCAGTTTCCTAACAAACAACGCTATAGATATCATCAGATCTACAACAATATCCACGAACTCAAATGCTAATTACTGATATCTGTTGTATCAGCGAACTTTAGAGTTAGAATGAATCTATCTACTTTAGAGGTAGTGTGAATCAGATGTGGATTTACACAAGTTATAGTTTACACAATCTGATTACTTCTCTTTATGAAATGTAATTGTTGTTTATTCAAAGCATAAGGATGGATTGAAAGAATTAATTCAGCTTGTTCATATAAAAAGTATGACCAACGTATATAACAGTACCTGAAGGAAAAACTGTTAGTTCGTAAAAACAATTCGATTCTAACAAAAAGTTTCTAAAAGTGACACCGTCAAGATGATATAATCTTTTTTACAACACATTTACTGTACCGGTATTTGGTGGATTTGTTTTTCAACAGATCGTCGACTATTACGTCGATGTGTTCCTTTCTTGAAGTGAGGCAGATTTCATACAGTAGCTTATTAAGAGGAACGAAAAGAAGCTAATATAACCGTTCTGGAATATAGGCGGACATTCACAAATACGTTCTACTGAATCATTGCATAAAAACTTAATTTTAAGACTTCTTTTTATAATTTTATGGAGGTGTAAAAGCGTTGACCGAAGTACATTTTGTATGCGTTTTATACTAAAAATGTGCACACGATCAACGCTTTAATGTCCTTATAAAACTATAAAAAGAAGCATTCGACTACAACCATAAAATTAAGAGTTATATCAAGCTTTTCGTTTGCCTGTATATGCACTGTTTTATTTTGTCACCTATAGCAAGTGCATTCAAAGCTGTTGTATTTTATACGGATATAAAATGATATTAATGTGCCTCGCGATTGTTTTCGGCAAATAATAAAAATTACGAATTCTAATGAGTAATAATTCAGAGTTCCGTAATTGCATCTATTCCATGGAAATGGAAATAAAGGAAAGTGCAGTTACAATGATCCACATAGAAAACAGCATTGAGGGTTGGTATAGACCTATTTTTACGCGAAAAAAGGTGAATTCATTTTTTCACTGTGAGCATTCCATTTTTTGTTGAAACATTCAAGACGCAATTGCATGAGAAGTTTACATCTCGAATTGTTACGATATTCAGATGTTTATGTTTTCTATCCTGATTATATTGATAGAGGGTTGTCTCTACCGAGGAAGCAAGTGTTCTTCGTTTTTAGGTTAAAAGTTATGACTTTGAAAGTTTTTTCGGACGCTATCATGACTTGATTTGCCGTTACTGAAAAAATTGTCAATTATAACCCTGGATACATTTCCAGTTTTTTTCCATTCGTTTAATGTGTTGGAGCTTTTGATTTTGCCATTTGATCAAGGATTTTCCGTTTAGAATTTTCCTCGGAATTCGGTATTTTTGTTATTTTACTTTTTCCTTTGTAATAACCACAATTCCGTCCTCCTTTCATCATTGTAGACCAATCACCGAAACGGATTTTTAATTGTCATGAGCAACATGACTTGTGTCAATAACCAAGCTAGAATTGCTTACCCGCCGGATGTCTGCAGTCGAGTTCGAGCTAATTTGTGTCGTTTGGCCATGGTATTGTGTTTTTTTCTTCGGCTTTTGAACTTTCGATTGACCCTTCATATGTTTTCCTTTTTTAATATTACCTAATCAACGTACACTATTTCAGACAATCACTATACTTTACGTGTCAGTGGATGTGACTATCAAATTATGATGAAACCAGGGTATGATTTTTTAATAATACTATAAATAGGAAACCAGCAAAACTTATAACAATTAAGTGTAAGATATGGCAAGTTAATAATTTCAAATTTGATTGTGTAATTATTTTTATTTACAAAATAACAATTAATTAAAACACAAAATATACTGTTCCGTGTTAGTTTCTCCATCTCTATCCACCGTAGTTAAGACAGCCCGGGACATGGATTGGATAATCACAACTGACAAGTTGTTCATTGAATACGGTACCTGGAGCACAGTATTCATGGAAAGTTAGACCAAAAGAACATTGGTAGAATTCTCCACAGTCAGTTGGGTCTCTGTAGTGACCATCAGGCTTGTTTTTACAGAATTCCTGTTTATTGTTTCCTGTACAATAGTATATATTTGTCAGTTTTAAGAACAATGCTTTAATCTTTCTTTCAAAAATTTTTAATCACAAAAGATTTGAAATAAATGCTGAAACTTTTCCTCTTTTTTTGGGGAAATATAAGTTTTTAGGAAATTTATTGAAGATAAGGCATTCTTTTTAGTTTGCTTTTTGTCTTTATGTTAGTTATCCTTTTATCGTGTTTTTACTATGAAACTGCATGGAACTAATTTGAACTTACCGTTTGAAGGAGCCTGAGTTATCACGACAGGGGCTTGAGTTACAGGAGCCTGAGTGATTACAATAGGAGCTTGTGTTCCAGGTGCCTGAGTAGCAACAGCTTTCCTCGTTGTCACGACAGGAGCTTGAGTGAAAGGTGCTTTGGTTGTTGGTTGAGGGTTCTGACTGGTTGAACATTTGACATTATATTGCGAATCACAGTACTTAGACACAGAATTGAAGAGTAATCCGCTGGCACATTTAACTTCGAAAGCTAGTGAGGCAGCACAAATGTAATAACTGTCGCAAGCAGAAGGGCTTGGATAAAATCCACTTTTTCTGCCATTACAGTTAAAGTTTGTAGTAGGGCCAACGTGGTGTGCCTGGTGCGTTGGACGTGGTCCTGAAAATTATGAATTGTTTACTTTTGCATCATGTTCTTAATATAAGAACAATACCACACTTTTAGATCATAATTTGTGTGTGTGTGTTTGCAAAAATATATTGTTTGGCAATGTCCAATTTAATTTTCAATGTGTTGTTGTGTTGCTTGTTTCATATTTTTACTCCATAAAATGTCCTCTAGTTTTTTTTACATGTACGAGTATATCTTAAGTAAAATTCGTTACAAAATTTCACAAATAATGGAAATATAGATTAAAATACCTTTGGTGGTCACTTGTTGGGCTTGTGTTGGCTGTGGTACCCGTGTTGTTGATCGTGGTGGTTGTGTTGTTGGCTGAGTTGGGTTGTTGGTATGTTGTGGAGCTTGAGTTGTAGGTTGTGGAGCTTGAGTTGTCGGTTGGGGAGCATTTGTAACACTGAAATGAAGGAACACTGCGGCTGTTCGACATTCTTACTAACTGAACCCTCAAATATATTTCGGTTGTCCGATAAGTCCGCCCATTTAGGTTCAATCCACTATTTTCTACATAAGGAAATGTTTGTACGAAGTCAGGAATATGACAGTTGTTTTCCATTCGTTTGATGTGTTTGAGCTTTTGATTTTGCCAATTGATAAAGGACTTTCCGTTTTGCAGTTCGGTATTTTTGCTATTTTACTTTTTGTTCTAATGACGGTTAATGAATGGACTAACCGGACGATCGGAATTAACAACCAGTGTCGTATGTATTGTGTCAGGGACAAATTTAATTTTCATTTTTATCACTTAAAATTTCTTTTGATAGACGTAAGAAAAATTTCACTAAAATAAAACAAATCAAATCAAATCAAATCAAATCAAATTAATTCAAATAAAATCAAATCAAATAGACTAAAAAATAAATTAAGAACTATTTAAAAAAAATAAAATAAAATAAAATAAAATAAAATAAAATATTTTAAAATATAACTATTTCTCATTTTACTTACGGTTTTACATTTGTTCCACCTGCAGCATTTAATTCGTCATTGATGGCATGAAGTAAAGGATACTTCCCCTGTCCACATGAACCACTGAAATCATCAAGATCTAACGCCCATACCATAGTTCCACCAAAATGATGATCCTTAATGTACTTCACCTAAATAACATGCATATATGTCAATTTCTTCAGGTCGATTTTAAATAAATATTGTAATGTTATTTATACACAATTATTAAACATTAATATTGAATGTCGTGCTTTGTGAAAGACTGTGTGCCAGTTTAAGGGTGTGTGATGCCAATTTAAGAGTGTGTGATGCCATATGGGAAGATCAAAAACTTAATAAGACTTCAGACAAATACTTGTTTGTCCCAATTTTCTGCCTCTTTATTCATCGTTTTATGATTTGTATAATTTTTGGTGTTTTTACCTTTTAGATTTTGATGGTTCTACCTTAAACCACATTTTTTAAATTGAATTATGATTTTTACCACTTTGTAACATTTATTTTGTCACATACATTATATCTGTCTAAAATATAATTATGAAACAAAATACCTGAAAAAGGATTATGATGAAGAGTATTTTTTGGATTTTCTCAAATATGTTATAACAGCAAGTAATTTGAAAAGTTCAGTCCGAGTGTGCTATTGCTGTGATGTCTCTTTCGTAAATATTTGAAAATTATTTTGCTAAAACCAATGCTTACTTTTTCTTTTAAGCTATCAACATCGTCGTATCCAACCCATTCTGTTCCTTTTACTGCGTATGGGCTTTTCTGCTCAGGAATGTAATGTTTAGAACCACCAGACTTTAACATTGCACAAACCTGGTAATGCGAATGAAAACAGCATTATAAATATTTTTCAATGCAGCTACCCCTTTCGACAAAAACAAAAATAAAATGCTAACCTTAACATTGCATGTCATTTCTGTTATGACTATAGAACAAAATCCAGTTGATTTGTTGAGATGATTTTATTACGTCTGTAGGGGACCAAGCTGTATAATAAGTATCTAAGAAAAGGTTTGTTATTCATATAGATTTTTGCATGATATTTTAATACGTTCAGCGTTTTCCGTTAAACTCATTAACATTCTACAATTTACACCAAAAATTTTACCTTTTAGAAAATAAAACAAACGCATAAGATAATATGTAAATAGTAATTCTATTTTTTTTCTATCAAAGGTATTAAAAAAAATGTAGAAATAAATTTAATTAGTATAAGAAAAACACTACAATATTTCCACTGTGGTTTGGTCAAAGTGGCGTGAATTCAATAATCAAAAAGTTTTATAAATCTGATAGATTTAACATTCTTCAGCCGTTCACAAAACATTAGTCTGTCCAGTATCAGTACCATTATTTTGATTTTGTTCTTCAAACCTCTTCCATTTAAGGAAACACATGCAAAAAACTACCAAAATAGACCTGTTTTGAAATGTTGTTATTTATATTTGAATATTAGCATCAGCATCACATAAAAAAGATTATTTGCAATAAGATGTCTTCAATAATGATGTTGTGGTCAGTAAAACATGTTGTACACAAAAAGATATATTACTAAAAATGTTTCATTAAATGAAGTTGATGTAAGTGAAATAATTTTTTTAGTAAGAATGTTACTCAATTTTGAATTTATAAAAAAAATATGTGTAAAATGGCCAGTTTTATTGAATCATGTCAATTTTAATATGCGTATAACATCACAGTGTTGTCATAAATGACATCAGTATGTACTAAAGTGATTAGATGTTATCTTTCCTTTCATTTATCTTCAAAATTAATTCAAACTAATTTTGTAAATATGTGTCTATACAATATATCAAGCTTTACGGTTCAAATGTACCTCATAATAGGCGAGGAATCCTTTCTCCCGAGTGAACTGACCAGCGGGCCCGGCTCCTCTAGCAGGGGCGCCAAGACCTGTATTGCTAGCGCTTGCCAGTGTAAAACTCCTTCCATACAATCCTAATCCGACATTAATCATTGAAGGGGGTACTCCATTCTTTACATAATATTTGGTAACCCAGTCCTACAAAAAAATACTTGACATTAATGTTTATATCATCAATTGGGAAGAGCAGGACTCTTCTATTTCTTTTTCATATACGACGAGTCAAACTTAAAAAAAATGCTAAATGAATAAAATTATATGTGTATTTGAAGTTATTGAATTCAGTACACTAAATTGAATTATGAAAACCCATTTATTATTTTAATATGGATAAAAAAAAATGATTTGGCAAATTTTCAGTATTATAGTAATATCGTGTTCTGAAATAACGATAATCAAATAAAGCCGTGCGTTCGTTCTTCTTTTATATCACAAAACAGACCACCATGTGTGTGTGTGTGTGTGTGTGTGTGTGTTAAGTAAGTTAGTTGTTTTCAATAAAGACCAAACCATTGGTCTATCTTCAAATACAGCTTGAGCATACCGTTAGAATTATAAAACCAACAAAATTAAATACCAAAAAAAAACCCAGTGCAATTGACATCAAAACTATTATACCTGATATCATGCAGAGTGACCCTCTTATATCCAAACATAAACCGTATTGATTTAGATCTAATGCAAAAGAAACAGATCAAGGTCTTTAAGACAAAAAGCTTACAAAAGTTTGTTATCTCTTATCTGTGTTCGAAATAGTAAAATAAAATAACTTGTAAACAAAACACTTGATTTGGTATGAAAAAGGCTGTGCCTCGTACTGGTTTAAAGTGAGTTACCAACTATATTAAGGTACTATGTACGAACTATATATATGTACTATGTACTAACTATATTTGGTACGATGTACTAACTTTATTAAGGTACTATGTACTAACTATATTAAGGTACTATGTACAAACGTTTTTAAGGTAGTATATGTTCTAACTGTATTAAGGTACTAAATGTACTAACTATATTAAGGTACTAAATGTACTAACTATATTAAGGTAATATGTATTATTATACTTCACGTTAAAATGCCAGATTTTGATTGGCTAATACGAGGGAGACAATTTACTCTAGCCCATGGCTGAGCGGGAGAAATTTGTTTGAATGTCACCCTCTCGTGCAGACCAATCAAAAATAGATAATTTAAAGGACAATAAATTGAATTTACATCAAATAATAAAAGACAATGCTCAAGTTCTACGTTTTGGCTCAGAACTTTTTCATAGACTGTCAAAATAAAAATAAAAACCATCTTGCTTCACTTCTGTTGATTTTTCTAATATCTGTAACGTTGTAATGTACGTGACGTCATAGTAAAATACTTTAAATTTAAAATTCAACAGTAAAAGACAATAATGATAGGACATTCAGTATAATAAATTAAATAACACATATCAGAGAGGCTGATAGAGCAGATTGGCACCCCTAGAAAAAACATTGTCAACCTTGGCTTCGCCTCAGTTGACAATGTTTTTCGGGGTAAAAATCTGCTCTATCACCCTCTCAGCTATGTGTTATTTATATACAAACTATATAAGTGTTCTATGTTCTTATTATATTAAGGTACTAAGCGTACTTACTATATTAAGGTACTATGCTAACTATATAAATGTACTATGTACTTACTATATTAAGGTACGTTTTATTTCCTGATTCTGATGGATGACTGTAGAGTGGTGAGTGGTGTCCAGTTTTATCTTCCCAGCTTCCATGTAAGTCATAGGTCATCAAATTAAACATATCCAAGTACCTGTTAAAATTTTATTTATTTTAGTACTAAGATGGTAGAAATTTTTAAACACACAATTAAGTTTAAAAAATATGAACAAAATATTTCCTAGGAGTTGCATTATAAGGTTGATTTATCTGTAATGATATTTTGATAAGAAAACCTGTATTGTACTTTTAATGAAGATAGACATAAGACAGAAATTACAATATGAATATAAACTTTCCATTCATTAGCAGTGAACGGTAGTAGTAGCGATGATTACACAAAATTAAAAGATCTGTGATTCCTCCTTTTGATGTGAGAAAGACAAGGAACTGGTGAGCTAATATGTTTGAAATCTATCTCAGCATATATGTATAGTACAAAACTGAGTTCATTGTCGGATCTTATTTTGAGTATATCTAAAAGATAAACCACTGGATGTTTTAGTCCTTCCATTAATGCATTTTCATTATAGCTCACATCAATAGAAGATCAATATAAATAAGAAGGTGTGGTATGAGTGCCAATGAGACAACTCTCCATCCAAGTCACAATGTGTAAAAAGTCAACAATTATAGGTCAAAGTACGGCCTTCAACACGGAGCCTTGGCTCACCCCGAATAGCAAGCTATAAAGGGCCCCAAAATGACTAGTGTAAAACAATTCAAACAGGAAAACCAACGGTCTAATCTATATAAATAAACGAGAAACGAGAAACACTTATGAAGGGCATTCCTGTATTTGGTCGGATGTTTTGAATAAAAAAAAATTCATATCGCTTTTACTATTTATCTTGTATTTGATAGAAATCTTCGAAAAAACATTATGTAGCGCTATTACTAAGTTTCATGTACACATGGTCGAATTATTGAAGAAAAAACAATATATATATAGCGCTATTACTATACTTATAATGTATCTAATCGAACTCTTGGAAAACCCAATGTAAATCGCTGTTTCTGCTTATCATGTATTTGATCGAAGTCTTGGAAAAACAAATATATAGCGTTTTTACTATACTATATTCATGTTTATGACTGAATTCTTGAGAAAAGAAATATAGTAGTTTTTACTACATGAATGGTCTCTTATCAATGAGAATTTTTAGGTTAAAATTTGAAATTGTTACAGATAAAACCGAACAGTGACATGTGATAGATAGCCTCATTGTTTAATTTTAGTCCGTATGCACAGAAAAAGAAGTACAAGGACATTGCAATTGCAATACAATTGATTTTTATACTACAAATACGAATACGTTGTCTATCATATCTTTCGGTTATAGAAGGTAATCATGCTATTATCTACGGTTCTATAAGTAGAACAAAATTTCAAATTATGTTATCTTACATAAAAAAGACATAGGTTTTTTTTTCAATATCTGACATACTTGACCATTTCTGGGAAGTTGTAACCGGAATCTATGTTTTCCTTGCCTGCAGGTGTAGCAGCTGATAAAAGCAGAGCTGGTTTGCCACTTGTTTGGGCTTCAGCGTCAAATTCCCTTCGTAAAGTCTGAAAAAGGTAGTTGAGATGTTATCTGAAAGTCTTTGTTACAAGAAATCTGCTCTTAATGGATAATAATATTAGATATCTATGACATGCATAACAATATTCACAGAGATTAATCATGCATTAATATATATAATATATATTTGTCACTCGACCATATTATGTTCATTTACAACAAGAGTTAACAAGAGGTAACAAGAGAACAGCCTGCATGTATCGATTTTGACAATGGTTCTTGCATTAATTATATTCATCTTGCAGGAAAACAGAAAAGCAGGAACCCATTTATATCATTCGTAAGCGTTCGAAGTTTGCCTCAAATGTTAATTTCATTTTCTAAATTTTTCAAAATCTCCCCTATTTTCAGAATCTCAACATCATTATAGAAGGCCTTTAGAAACAGAACACAGTGTTTGTACATTGTTTCTATGTTCTAAACCATCCCATTCACAAAATGAAGGTTGTAGTCTACGCCTTTATATCTGCTGCAGGTAGGATAAAATATACAAATGCACATCGCACATTATGACATTGTTTGATTATTTAAAAATAAAATGCACTTTTTTTATCATACGAAAGTAGGTATTCAAAATGATAGGGTCAGAAGGGATTTATCTTAAAATTTTCATAACTGTAAAAGTGAAAATGAATATGACAAACCTTCAACAATTCGATGAATTTTTGCTTATCTCCTGGAGGACTGCCTCGGTTTGCTGGGTATTCCCAATCAAGATCAAGGCCATCAAAGCCGTGGTCCCTTAAGAATTTGACAGTAGATGTGGCAAATTCTTGACGACTTGAAGCAGAGGCAACCATTCTGGTAAAAGGTGCGGATGCCATGTTCCATCCACCAACAGCAAGTTCTAGTTTCAAGCTTGGATTACTTTTCTTTAAGTCTGTAAATCTCGCGTACCTTTCAAATATTATATTCAGATGATCATTTATAAATTGGATTGGTTTTTGCTACACTCAGTGTTAAGTATTCCACCATACACATTTGAAAAATGAATAAAAATCAAAATAGAAGGCTCTGCAAAATAATTCAACTGGGATGAAGGGCAGAAAATTTAGATAGGAAAAGAAGTTTTGCCTTACAGCAAGCCAACTATGGGTTCCTTAAACAGTTATTGCAAGGGTTCTTTAATATAAAGAGAGTGCATCATTTTGAATATATGTACCGGGTTTTAAATCCTCATTCCGACAGGCCGTGGTGCATATTGATACATCCAGCACAGCCAAACGAGAACTTCCTTCAAGCATTTGTATTGTTGATTGACGAGAGGAGTCCAGTATATATGCCCCAGTCATCATTTGTTACTGGAATGTGGAATTAAACTCTACTTATTCTGAATAATCACGAATATTACAGAGACTAAACAGAAATTCGACGATATCGTACAAACTATATGTTTATCAATACAATAAATTGTAATATGAATTGTAGTAGTTTTGACATATCACTGCAGGGGAACAGTTCAAGTTATAGTGTGATGCGAATGTTTTAGGGATCAGTGTTAACGAATTTGGTGTTTAGTATAGAGTGAACTGTCACAGAATGTTATGCTCCATTTTTTAACAATTAAACACTAACAGCTAAACTTACATCCCCTTCATCCAAGGAGTACTTTCGTCATTCCATTCATATGGATGTAATTTATTTCCAACCATTTTGGCGAATGAGTAGATGATATGTGTGCAAAGTGTAGGGTCTACATTCTCAGGAAAGAACTTTCCTGCACTGTTTCTGTATTGTGCCCAGTTAGTGTAGTAGCATACTCTTCGGTAAGCTATAAAGTTCAAAAGGAGACTCATATGCATGAATGTCATTGGATACTTTTGGGAGATTAATATTGTTATATACGCAAAAAGTTCCACCACAATACAAATTTGTCGAATTTATCTAAATAATTTCACATACGATCAAACAGCTTTTAGGTTACGGCTGAAAAAGAGGTTTCTGTGTCCATGCTTATGCAGAAATGAGGCACGCCAAATATCTAAAATTCACCATAAAACTGTAATCATTACAAATATCCCTACTTCGACAATAAAATTAAACTGAATCAAAAATCATTTAATTTCACAATTTTTTCTGTTGTGTAATTTCTACGTAATTGTAGTTTCCCATTGTCTCAGAGCTTTTACACTATTGGGTATTGAAGATTCTGAATACGCCGACTAGCAGGACAACAGTAAAATAAATATTACAGAAATTACAGGGTAATGCTTTAATTTTGTCAAATGCTTACTAATATCCATGACAGGAAAAAATAAAACTGATGCACTAGAACCCCCCCCCCCCCAAAAAAAAAAAAAAACAACAGATAACAAAATAACAACAAAAACAACAACAAAAACAAACAAAAACAACAACAAAACACACACAATATCCCAGTGAGAATTTTGCGGAGTAAGAACTCTGCAGAATTTGAAGGAGTGGATGTATGTTATATTTAAGAAATAATTCTGTCATGCCATACTTTATATAGATATAGGAAGATGTGGTATAAGTGCCAATGAGACAACTCATCCAAGTAACAATTTATAAAAGTAAACCATGTATGCTCATTTTAACATAGGTAGGCATTATATTTGTCAATATCTTTATACCGAGCGTTAGCGAGGTGTAAAATATTGACAAATATAATGCCTACCCATGTTAAAATTAGCATTAAGCATGGTATGATAGAATTATTTCGATTCTGATAGGAAAAATTATAACTTTTGTACTTCGAAGCGGACCTATAATACACGTCCGAAAGGCAGCCATTTTGATTTGATGAACCGAAAAAGTTATAGAAAATCAACAGTTCCACGATAAAAAATTAACATATATATGTAAACTTACTTTTAGAATGATTTTATTTAATTTCCTAGCGAGCAACACCAACAAAAAAGGCCATTTCGATCTCCGGCGTTGTTCAATATACAACTGACGTTGCAATTTCAATTGTGACGTCAATCACGTGCAGCCCATATTTTATTGTAATTAGAGCATGGCTTTGTTTCCAAAGCGAAAGAAGAACTTTAATTAGAATAACAATTTGAGGAAGGTTTGCAACTATCTTTTCCGCCAAAATAAACCTGGCTAACATAAACATTGTAACTTACCCGAAGCTACGCTAACTGCTGCAAGAAGCACCAGAGTTACCCGGAGGAAAAACATCTGAAATTTATAATTCGTTCAATCGTTCAATTGTTCACATTTAACTAAGTTATATGCGTATGCCATAAAATTGTATGATAATAAGTGCAAAGATGGTGGCATTTATAGAAGTAAAGGTGATAAGATAGTTCGGGGGTTATTTGATTATAGTCTCTATAATCTTTAATTTCCTTAAGCAAAGTGAGACTATCGATTGGAGTAGTCTTAAGGTTTGTGACCCCTTCTGTAGGCATGTGTATTACGAAATGTTCAAGGTGCAGTAATAGCAAAATAATAAATACAAGAGACGTGCCATTTCTTTCATTTACTAAATGGAAACGTCATTGACAGAAAAAATGTTTATTTTTTCATTGCATTTAATAGAAGATGGGGATTTTGTGTCAAGTCAAGCCAAGATTTTTACAGAAAATTCATAGACTTTATTACAGAGATTTTCGTTATAGCTTTTTAAACATAGACTACTCATTTGTTTGTCCATTCTGTGCTAGCATTTTGTATTTTTATATTTATTTGCAATCCAAAAAACCTCGTGCTGAGTCCCTAAGGACGAGCGCACCCTCAAATGTGTTCTTGAATAGGTCGATATTTGTACTTGTTTTAACTAATATTTTATTTGAAGGGAAATCATTGCTAACACTCCATGCAGTGATTACCTATATATCAAGTACCCGAATATTAAATATATGCATGAGTACAAGGGAAAAGTTGTGAATTTTCTTTAAAATTTCCATTAGCATTGAAACAACAAAAGGGCACATACTCCTTAACTAAACTTTAAAATTGTTTTACAAATTTTTAAAAATATTGTTTTATAAAAGAGAGGCGAAAGATACCAAAGGGACCAAAGGGACATTCAAACTCATAAGTCGAAAATAAAATGAAAACGCCATGGCTAAAAAAGAAAAAGACCAACAGACAATCAGACAAACAACAGTATACAAAACACAACATAGAAAAATAAAAGACTGAGCAACACGAACCCTACCAAAATCTGGGGATGATATCAGGTGCTCCGGAAGGGTGAGCAGATCCTGCTCCAAATGTGGCACCCATCGTGTTGCTCATGCAAGTACAAACCCGGGGATAAGTCTTATTATAAATATTTTAAAAATCCATTTGTAAAGGAACTACAGATGATTTTTAATTATGAGTTCATGCTGAGGTAAAATAAACGTGAATCTTCTATGTCAAAAATGATCGTATCTATGTCATCTATAGCAAACAATTGGTTATTCATCTTTTCTGTTCGATAAAAAATAATATAACCAAATACTCGCAAATCCTCATCGAATGTGTTATTTACTTACATTCTAGACTTGTGATTGTTAAAAAAAAAAAATTCCACTACTTTTAATTATTCAGTGATATGAGGAAAATTCTAATACTGTTCGAGAAATTCAAAACGGAAAGTCCTTAATCAAATGGCAAAATCAAAAGATAAAACACATCAAACGAATGGATAACAACTGTTATATTCCTGACTTGGTACAGGCAGTTTTTTATGAAAAATGGTGGATTGAACCTTGGTTTTATAGCTAGCTAAACCTCTCAATTGTATGACAGTCGCATCAAATTCCATTATATTGACAACGATGCGTGAACAAAACAAACAGACATATTAGGTAAACATGTTAAAAAATAGGGGTGCAGCAGTCAACATTGTGTTATAATCTTAATCACAAAAAAACAAACAAATATGTAACAAGGAAGCACAAAATGGCATATAGCCCAAGTATATCAGCAAAAATTAAAGACAAGAATACACAAATTAATACACTGGCTGAACAAAAAAATTTATTATGAGAGTCCCAGACACTATATTAGTTGACACTTTCCCCACTAATTCCACATGTTTTAAGTAGTTCATTGAATCGATTGGTAAGTTTTTTAAAGCCATTTTCACTTTCTATTTGTGAAAATACTGTGCAAATATATACAGACGTCAGGAAATCTAGTGATCCTGACTTCTTCAAATTTAAAAGTAAATACTTCTTTGATTTAAAACCTTTATAATGAATTAAACAGATAGCAATGGACAATAAAATATAAAACAAACAAACAAAAACAATAACTTAATGAAAATTTGGGACGATATTTTGTAAAGTGTAGAAGTTTTGAAGGCTGCGATATTGATGGTTTTGATACTTAAACATTCAATTGAATCAATTGATGCTTTGGGAATCTGATCAAACCCACTAATAAAGCAGACCTTATCATAACAACGTATACTAGTACTTTGAATTCATTAATATTTAGAGTTGTGTCTGAGATTTTCAACATAATTGTGTGATGGCATACACTGGCAGAAAAACATCCCAATCGTAATATTTCAAACTTGCTATAAAATTGAAATATTTTTAAAAGCCAATTTCCTTTATCAACAGTTCTTCTACGACGGAGTACCTGTTAAATGTATTGACTTCTTTCTAGATTCTGTGCGTTTAAGAGCTCGACTTGGCTTTGTGTTTATTCATACTCATTCAGATTTTTTAATAATCTGCAATGAATAAACTCATCATAGATACCTGTTTGAAATTTTGTTTTTGCGCCAGACACACGTTTCGTCTACAAAAGAGGAGGAACATTATTTCATTCCGTTAATGTGTTGTTGTGATGTGATCATTTTTTGTATTATTGTCTTTCGTTTTTGCTTATTTGCTCATCTTCATGTCATTTTATTTTTCTTAGTTAACATAATGTCTGTTTGTTATGTTCACACGGTGTTGTTGGTAATATAATGGAATGTTTTCGTCTGACATACAAGTTAAAACCAGGTTTAATTAACCATTTTCTATATAAGAAATGCCTGTACAAAGAGAGGAATTTGACAGTTGTTTTCAATTCGTTTGATGGGTTTGATCTTGTAATTTTGCCATTTGACGAGGGACTGTCCGTTTTTGAATTTTCCTTGGAGGTCGGTATTTTTGTTATTTTACTTTTAAGATCGTAAAAACAGTTCGATTCTAACAAAAGTTTATGACAGTGACACCATCAAGATGCTTATTTTTTTCTACAACACATTAGCATTCTTGGTGGATTTGTTTTTCGACAGATCTTCGACATTTCAATGGTACAAGCTGTTATATTACGTTATATTATCCTTTATTGGAGTCAGGCAATTTTCATAAAGTAGCATATATCAAGAGGAACGGAAAGAAGCTAATTTAATTGTTCTGGAATGTAGACGGATATTTAAAAATACGTCCTTCTGAATTAAGCATAAAACATAATTATAAGACTTCTTTTTACAATTCTTTTGTGGTGTTAATGCGTTATCCAAAGCACATTTTGCATGCGCCTCATGCCAACGATCAAAGGCTTTAACTACACTATGAAATTATAAAAAGAGGTATTCAACTCTTTATAATTACATTTTTATGCACCATCCATAAAATGAATACTAGTAGTCATATCAAACTTTTCGTTTGCTTTTCTATGCATTGTTTAAATTGTCACGGATAGCACGTGCAGTCACAGCTGCTGTATTTTATACGGAATATCATACGATACTGATGTGCCTCGTGATTTTCCGAATTTTCCACTGGAACTCTGGAGCTCAATTCGAGTTACGTTTGTCTTTTGACCATGGTATCGTATATATTCTTCAGCTTTTGAACTTTCGAATAAACATTCATATGTTTTCCTTTTTCATAATTACTAAATGAACGTACGCTATTTCAGACAATCAATATGTTTGACGTGTCAGTGGTTGTGACTTTTCAACTAAGATCAAATCAGGATATGTTTTTTTTTATAATGCTATTGGTAGAAAACCAGCAAAACTTATAACCCTTACGTGTAAGATATGGCGGCTATTTATATAGTTAAATATTTCAGATTCGATTGTGAAATTAATTTTATTTATAAAATAACATTTAATTAAAACACAAAATAAACTGTTCGGTCTTAGTTTCTCCATTTTCTTTATCCACCGTAGTTCGTACAGCCCGGAACATGTATTGGATAATCACAGCCTACCAGTTGTTCATTAAATACGGTACCTGGAGCACAGAATTCATGGAAAGTGAGACCAAAAGAACATTGGTAGAAATTTCCACAGTCAGTTGGGTCTCTGTAGTGACCATCAGGCTTGTTTTTACAGAACTCTTGTTTATTATTTCCTGTATAAAAGTATATGCATGTCAGTTATTAGAAAATTAACATCTTTTATTCACAAAAGAACTAAAATAGGCGTTGGAATTTTTCCTCTTTGAATTTTTTTCCCGTAAATATAACTTTTAAAGAAATTTATTGAATACAAAACATTCTTTTAGTTTGCTTTTTGTCTTTATTTTGTTATCATTTATCTACTTACCCTTCCGGTGCACCTGAGATCACCCCCAGTTTTTATGGGGTTCGTGTTGCTTTGTGTTTAGTTTTCTATATTGTGTCTTGAGTACTATTATTTGTCTGTTTGTCTTTTTTTTTTTAGCCATGGCGTTGTCAGTTTATTTTCGATCTAAGAGTTTGACTGTCCCTCTGGTATTTTTTCCCCTCTTTTATCGTGCTTATTACCACGAAACTGCATGGAATTATTTTAAACTTACCGTTTGAAGGAGCCTGAGTGACAGGGGCTTGTGTAACAGGTGCCTGAGTAGCCCAAGGTTTCCTCGTTGTCACGACAGGGCCTTGAGTGAGAGGTGCTTTAGTTGTTGGTTGTTGGTTTTGATTGGTTGAACATTTTACATTATATGGCCAATCACAGTACTTAGTTGCAGAATTGAAGAGTAATCCGCTGGCACATTTAACTTCGAAAGCTAGTGTGGCAGCACAAATAAAGTAACCGTCACAAGAAGAAGGGCTTGCATAAAATCCACTAGGTCTGCCATTACAGTTAAAGTTGGTAGTAAGGCCAATGTGGTGTGCCTGGTGCGTTGGACGTGGATCTGAAAATTATGAAAGTAAATTGTTTACTTTTGCATCATGTTCTGAATACAAGAACAATACCGCACTTGTAGATCAAAGATTTGTGCGTTTATTTGCAAAAATACATTGTTTGGCAACATCCAATTCGTTGTTGTGTTGTTTGTTTCATATTTTCTTTGTATAATGTCATCTAGATATTTTTTTTATGTAGGACTATATCTAAAGTAAATTAGTTACAAAATTTCACAAATAATGGATATGCAAATTAGAATACCTTTTGTGGTCACTTGTTGGGCTTGTGTTGGCTTTGGTGTCCATGTTGGCTGTGGTGTCCATGTTGGCTGTGGTGTCCATGTTGGCCCTGGTGTCCAAGTTGGCCCTGGTGTCCATGTTGGCCCTGGTGTCCATGTTGGTCCTGGTGTCCATGTTGGCCATGGTGTCCATGTTGGCTGTGGTGCCTTTGTTGTTTGTCGTGGTGGTTGTGTTGTTGGTTGAGGTGGGTTCCCGGTAGGTTGTGGAGCTTGAGTTGTCGATTGGGGAGCATTTGTAATCCTGAAATAAAGGAAAAACATAGCTAGTCGACATTTTAAATAACTGGATCCTCAAATAAATTTCGGTTGTCCGATAAGTCCGACCATTTTGTTCATATGCCGTTGAATGTATGGACTAACCGGACGAACATAATGAGCGATCTATGTCGTAATATAGTGTCCGCGACAAAATTGATTTTTATTCTTATCACTTAATTTCTTTTGATAAACGTTACAAAAATAAAATAAAATAAAACGAATGAAATGTAATGTAATAAAATGTCAGTATTTTTTATAAGCTTAAAATATTACAATTTCTCATTATTACTTACGGTTGTACATTTCCACCTGCAGCATTTAATTCGTCATTGATGGCATGAAGTAAAGGATACTTCCCCTGTCCACATGAACCACTGAAATCGTCAAGATCTAATGCCCATACCATAGTACCACCAAAATGATGATCCTTGATGTACTTCACCTAAAATATATACATATGTCACAATTTCTAAAGGTCGATTTTAAATATATATTGTAACGATATTTATCCACAATTATTAAACATTACAATTGAATGTCGTGATTTGTGAAAAACTGGGTGCCAGTTTAAGGATGTGTGATGCCAGAAGAAGATCAACAACTTGATAAGACTTTAGGAAAATTCTTTTTTTCCACATTTTCTGCCTCTGTATTCGTCGTTTTTTGTTTTGTATAGCTTTTGTCGTGTTTTACTTTTTAGATTTTATTGGTTTCCACTACCTTAGACCCGTTACTTTAATTATTGTACTTATTACCACTTTGTAACATTTATTTTGTCTATCAAATCACACATGTCCAAATATAATATTGGAACAAAATAATGTTGAAAAATGTTTAAATTTGGATTTTCTCAAAATTCTTATGACGCCATACAACCAGTGATTTTAAAAGTTTATAAATGCCTTTCAATCCGAGATATCAGCTATTACTGTGATGCCTCTTTCGTAAGTATTTGAAACTTTTTTTGCTATAAAACAATGCTTACTTTTTCTTTTAAGCTATCAACATCGTCGTATCCAACCCATTCTGTTCCTTTTACTGCGTATGGGCTTTTCTGCTCAGGAATGTAATGCTTAACACCACCAGACTTTAACATTGTACAAACCTAACAATGCGGATGAAAACAGCATTAGAAATAATTTTAAATGCAGCTATCCCAACCGACAAATAAAATGCTAACACTAAACAACACATGCTATTCATATGATAATAGAACAAAATTAAGTTGGTTGAAATGATTTAATAACGCCTGTAAGGAGACCAAGCTGCATAATAAATATATTAGAAAAAGGTTTGTTATTCATCTAGATTTGTGCATGATATTTTAATAAATTCAACGCCTTTTCTGTTTTTATTACCATTCTATAATTTACACCAAATATTTTACCTTTTCGAAAATAAAACAAATGTAAAAGATAATATGTAAATAGTCTTCTTATTTCTGTTTCTATCATATAGGTATTCAAAATTTTTTAGAATTACAATCAATCAGTAAAAGAAAAAACACTATAATATTTCCACTGTGGTTTGGTCAAAGTGACGTGAATTCAATGATCAATAAGTGTTTTAAATTGGATAGCTTTAACTTCACAAAACAATAGTCTGTCCCAATATAGGCGACATTTTTTTGTTCCTCAAACCTCTTGCATTTAAGGAAACACATGCAAAAAACTACCAAAATAGATCTGTTTTGAGGTTTTGTAATTTATATTTGAATATAAGTTACTGAATAACATAAAAAAAATTGCAATAAGACGTCTTCTACAATGGTGTTGTGTTTGGGTAAAATATGTTTTAAGTCAAACTTAATATATAGCCAAAAATGTTTCATAAAATGAAATTGATGCAAGTAAAAAAACTTTTTGGAAAATTGAGAATGGAAATGAGGAATGTGTCAAATAGACAACAACCCGACCAAAGAGCAGAAAACAGCTTAAGTCCACCAACCCGTCTTCAACACAGCGAGAAACTCCCGCACCTGAAGGCGGGCTTCAGCTGGCCCCTAAACACAAATGCACATCACACTAAACTCCGAAAAATATAATTGAACTAAAACTAAAGAAAACATACAAGACGAACAAAGGCTAGCGGCTCCTGACTTGGGACTGTCGCATAAATGTGAAGATTTTTTTTTTATTTTAATTTTAATTTTATAAAAAAAAAGGTGTAATATGGCAAGTTTTTGTTGAATCGAGTTAATTTAAATAAGCGTATGCCATCACAGTGATGTCATAAATGTATATAAAAAATTATTTTAAACATTTTTGGCAAATATTTGTCTATATACAATATATCAAGCTAAACGGTTTATATGTACCTCATAATAAGATTTGAACCCTTTCTCCCGAGTTAACAGACCAGCAGGTCCGGCTCCTCTAGCAGGGGCGCCAAGACCTGTATTGCTAGAACTTGCCAGTGTAAAACTCCTACCATACAATCCTAGTCCGACATTCATCATTGAAGGAGGTACTCCTTTACTTACATAATACTTAGTGACCCAGTCCTACAAAGAAATACTTGACATTAACGTTTAAATCATCAATTGGTAAAAAACAGGACTCTTCTATTTCTTTTACAAATATGACGAATCAAACTTAAACAATACTAATTCAATAAACTTATGTGTGTATTTGAAGTCAACTAAATTGCTCTTCAACTTTTTATTTTTCGTTTTTAATTTATTGATTCCAGTCACTGATGAGTCTTTTGTAGACGTATGCGTGAACAAATTTAAAGGATTTCTATAATGAGTTTATTTGAATTATGAAATCCCATTAATAATTTTGATTTTAGATTTGGAGAAGAAATGATTTGTCAAATTTTCAGTATTATCATAATATCATATTTTGAAATAACAATGATCAGATATATACGTGCCTTCGTATTTTTCCTTTATATTTCAAACAGACAAGTTGTGTGTGTGTGTGAGGAGAAAGATTTTTTTAATACAGGCAAACATTGGTCTGTTTTTCTCATATAGCTTAAACATGCCGGTAAGATTATATGACGAACAAAATAATACCATGCAGAGTGACCTTCTTATATCCAAACATAAACCGTATTGATTTAGGAGGTTTAACGCATAAGAAACAGATCAAGGTGTCAAAGTTTGTTATCTGTTATGTCTGTTCGAAATAGTAAAATAAAATAACTCGACCTTGTAAACAAAACACTTGCTGTGTTATTAAAAAGGTTTTGCCTTGTAGTGGTTTAAAGCAATGTATCAACTATATTAAGGTACTGCGCACTAACTATATATATTATTGTACTGTTTACTAACTATATAAATGTACTATATACTAACTATATTATTGTACTATGTACTAACTATATAAGAGTACGATGCACTAACTATATTTAGGCAGTGTAAGTACTTACTTTATTAAGGTACTATGCACACACTTTATTAAGGCACTATAGGAATTAACTATATCATGGCAGTATATTCTAACGTTTTAAGGTTCTTAATCTATTGAATATATTAAGGTAAAAATGTACCAAGTATATTAAGGTACTAAAAGTATACTTACTATATTAAGGTACTATGCTAACTATATAAATGTACTATATACTCACTTTAGTATTGTACTATATACTAACTATATAAATGTACTATATACTCACTATAGTATTGTACTATATACTAACTATATAAATGTACTATATACATTGTACTCACTATAGTATTGTACTATATACTAACTATATTTAGGTACTATGTACTTACAATATTAAGGTACTATATATTAACTATATTAAGGTACTATGTACTTACAATATTAAGGTACGTTTTATTTCCTGATTCAGATGGGTGACTGTAAAGTGGGGAGTTATGTCCAGTTTTATCTTCCCAGCTTCCATGCAAGTCATATGTCATCAAATTAATCATATCCAAGTACCTGTAAATTTTTTAAAGTATTTCGGTAATATGATAGTGGAAATTTGTTTAAACGCGAAATCTAGATTTAAAATTCTGAAAAAAAATATACCTATTTCTAGGAGTTGCATTGTAAGATGTATTCATCTACAGTTATAAGAAACATTTGTAGATGTCGTGTTAATGAAGATAAGACAGAGGACCGACATATAATATGAATATAACCTTTTGTACATATGCAAAGAAATAGAAGTACAAATACAGAGAAATTGCGGTAAAATTGATGAGTTTTTATTTTATTACAAATACGAGTATATATGGATCTCTTTCGGTTAAAGAAGATAATCTTTTTTTCAAATCTGACATACTTGACTATTTCTGGAAAGTTGTATCCGGAATCTATGTTTTCCTTGCCTGCAGGTGTAGCAGCTGATAAAAGAAGTGCTGGTTTGCCACTGGTTTTGGATTCAGCGTCAAATTCCCTTCTTAAAGTCTGAAAAGGTAGTTGAAAGGTTATCTGAAAGACTTTGTTACAATAAACCTACTCTTAATGGAAGATGATATTAAATATCCATGACATGGACAATAATATTCACAGAGATAAATAATTAATTTTCATACATTATAGAATATTATGTATTTGTCACTCTTGACCATTTTATATTAATTTACCACAATGGTAAACAAAAGAACAATTTTGCAACCTGCATGTATCGAATTTAACAATGGTTCTCTCATTCATTGTTTTCATCATGCAAGAACACAGGAAAGTAGATACCCAGTTATATGATTCTTAAAAAAGACTCTTTCTAAAAAAAGTCTAAAATGTGAATTGATATCCTTAATTTTTCAAAGATTTCGACTAATTTGGGGATCCTACACATCATTATAGAATCCTTTTCAGTAGAATCCTTTAAAAACAGTACAAATGTTTGTACATAGTGTCCATTTTTTAAAGAATGCCACTAAGTTATGATGTTGGTACAAATTGCTGCACGCAAGACAAAGTATACATTGGCACATCATACATTATGACACTGTTTGATTATTCAAAATAGAATGTACATTTTAATAAGTTTTCAAAGAAATGGGATCAGAAGGGACGAATTTTCAAATTTTCAAAAACATTCCTCCTGTGTTATAAAAAATTCTCTATAGATATACACACATTTAACCTCATTCGCCACATTGAGTTAACTGTAAACGTGAAAATGGATATGACTAACCTTTAACAATTCGACGAATTTTTGCTTATCTCCTGCAGGACTTCCTCGGTTTCCCGGGTACTCCCAATCGAGATCAAGGCCATCAAATCCGTGATCCCTTAAGAATTTCACAGTAGATGTGGCAAATTCTTGACGACTTGCAGCAGTGGCAACCATTTTGGTGAAGGGTGCGGATCCCATGTTCCATCCACCAACAGCAAGTGATAGTTTCAAGCTTGGGTTAACTTTCTTTAAGTCAGTAAATCTTTCGTACCTTTCAAATAGTATAATTATGCAGACAGTCATTCATAAATTGGGTTGTTAGGGCTAAATACTCGGTGACAAGTATTCCTGCATTCAAATTTAAATAAAAAGAACAATAAATCAAAATGTCTGCAAAATAAGGTCAAATGGGATGAAGGTCAGTGTCATTGGAAAAAGAGGATATTATGTATAGGGAAAAACAATGCCTGACAACAAGCCATCTATTGGCTCCTTAAAAAAGTGCATCATTCTGAACACATGTACCGTGGCTGCATATTTATACACCCAGCACAGCCAAACAGACATGTGTGTTGTTGACGGACGAGAGAAGTTCAGCTGAATATATATATATATATATATATATATAGGCCCTATTCATCCTTTGTGACTATAATTTGAAAAAAATCTACTAATTCTGTATATATATCAACATATATATATATGAGACTAAAAAGAAAATTCGACGATATCGTCCTCAATTATAGACAAATTATGTGTTTATCAATATAATAATTAAATTGTCATATCAATTGTAGTATTTTGACATATACCTGCTTCTGCTTTATTTTTTGGGGCGGATTCAGATATTTTGAAAGGAGGGGCGGGGCCCGTAATCCTAAAAGTAAAGATAATCCCTACATTGGAATATATTCAGCCGAGCAGAGTGAGACAAACACAATTATTTCCAACCATTTTGGCGAATGAGTAAATGATATTTGTGCAAAGTATAGGGTCTACATTCTCAGGAAAGAACTTCCCTGCACTGTTTCTGTATTGTGCCCAGTTAGTGTAGTAGCACACTCTTCGGTAAGCTATAAAGTTCAAACGGAGACTGTCATATGAATGGAATATATTCAGCCGAGCAGAGTGAGACAAACACAATTTTTGGACGATTCCATTCTAAAAAATGGATATATTTTCTAATTCTAGGGGGTAAACGCCCTCTACGTCCCCTGAATCTTCCACTGATTTTTAAACAATTAAACATGTTCAACAAAACTTACATCCCCTTCATCCAAGGAGTACTTTCGTCATTCCATTCATAAGCGGTTAATTTATTTCCAACCATTTTGGCGAATGAGTAAATGATATTTGTGCAAAGTGTAGGGTCTACATTCTCAGGAAAGAACTTCCCTGCACTGTTTCTGTATTGTGCCCAGTTAGTGTAGTAGCACACTCTTCGGTAAGCTATAAAGTTCAAACGGAGACTGTCATATGAATGAATATCATTTGATATTATTACGAGATAAATATTATTAAGTTCTATATTCTGTATATTCGGTGTATATGCAAAATGTTCCACCACAATACAAATTATCCGAATATGTCTAAATAATTCCACATGGTTGAAACAGTTTTTTGGTTACGATTGAAAAAGAGGTTTCTGTGTTGATGGTTATATGCAGAAATGTGGCACGCCAAATATTCAAAATTTATCATGAGATTGCAGTTGTTACAAATACCCATTTTGAAATTAACAAAATTAAATCAAACTGAGTCATAAATCATTTAATTTAACATTTCTTTCTATTGTATAATTTCTACGTAACTGTAGTTGCCCTTGATCTCAGAGCTTTAACACTATTTGGTATTGAACATTGTAAATACGCCGATAAAGTAGGCAACACTAACATGTATATATATTTCTCTAATTCTTCGTCAATTTATCCCTTTCTGCACCCATTGTATAAAAAAAATTTAATCAACGTGTGGTTCCTTTGATCTCAGTTCTACATTGGTTAAAATCCGATTATGACTTCGAATTTTCTTGCTTTCCTCTGAATTTCCTATTGTGACGGCATGAAAAAAGGCGACCATGCCTGATGACGTCACATAGAAACACATCTTTTTGCAGATCATTCGAAAAGAAGGAATAAATTTGCCTGCGTATTGTTTGAAAATCATTAGAGAAACAGATTCGACCACCAAATCTCGTGTAATACGATATTTATCCACTCTCGACAGTTACATTTTAAATATTTAAAACGCACGGCGAGCCTCGCGTTTTAAATTTGAAAATTTAACTGTCTCGAGTGGATAAATATCGTATCACACTAGATGCAGTGGTAGAATCTGTATTTCTCTAATTCTTCGTCAATTTATCCCTTTCTGCACCCATTGTATACAAAAAATTTAATCAACGTGTGGTTCCTTTGATCTCAGTTCTTCATTGGTTAAAATCCAATTATGACGTCGAATTTTCTTGCTTTCCTCTGAATTTCCTATTGTGACGGCATGAAAAAAGGCGACCATGCCTGATGACGTCACATAGAAAGAACACATCTTTTTGCAGATCATTCGAAAAGAATTAATAAATTTGCCTGCGTATTGTTTGAAAATCATTAGAGAAACAGATTCCACCACCAAATCTCGTGTAATACGATATTTATCCACTCTCGACAGTTGAATTTTAAATATTCAAAACGCTCGGCGAGCCTTGCGTTTTAAATTTGAAAATTTAACTGTCTCGAGTGGATAAATATCGTATCACACTCGATGCAGTGGTAGAATCTATATAACTTAAACTGTTGACACAGAGATATGTCTGCATAACATTCAGAAATAGACAATCTGCTGGACAAAAATTGGTTTTTCTCGCGGCGTTGAAGACCCATTGGTGGCCTTCGGATGTTATCTGCTCTTTGGTCGGGTTGTTGTCTCTTTGACATATTCCCCATTTCCATTCTCAATTTTATTTATAATTAATTCATATGCTGTACCATTATCTATTGTCCAAGGCCTCAAAATAATCGTCAGACTGATAGATGTACAGTTAGTATTTGCAACTTTATGCACAATATCATTGATCTATCACAAGTAGTTCTTAATTATCAAACTGACTTAAGCAGAAAACTTAACAAAGAAAATTGATAATTAATTTAAAATTCAAAGTCGCTGGACAATGTTCTAAGAGGTAGGGCATCAAAATAGTCGTTAAACTGATATGTACAGATAGTATTTGCGACTTCATACAAAATATCATTAATATATCACAAGTAGCTCCTATCGAACTTACTAAAGCAGAAAACTTTACTGCATTGAAAATTGATACATATTCAAATCCACTGGACCATGACCTCGGGGCAGGGCCTCGAAGAAAGACCTCAAACTGGTAAGCATCGATATTAATGAAACTTTATATTAAATATCAATGATCTATCACAAGTGGTTCCTTTTAAACAAACCTTAAGCAAAACAAATTGACATTGAAAATTGCTAATTAATTCAAAGTCCGTGGACCATGACCTAGGAGACAGGGCCTCGAAATAGTCGTCAATCTTATATGTACTGATAGTAATGCAACTTTTAATCAAATATCAATGTTCTATCCCTAATAGTTCCTATCAAACTAACTTGTCAGAAAATTTAACTTTTGCTGACGCCGTCGTCGCCAGAGCCATGCGGTCGCCGGAAAAGCAATCCCTATGTCTCGCTTTCCGCGGCTTTCGTCACAGGCGAAACAAAAACAAACTACAGGGTCATGCTTACTTTTTGTCAAATGCTTGCTTATACCCATAACAAGAAAAAACAAAATGTATGCACTACCACCTACCCGCCCCCACAAAAAAGTAGTAATAAGAAAACAACAACAACAACAAAACTACAAAACTATACAAAACACACACAATATCCTATAGTGAGACTTTTGCAGAGTTAGAACTCTGCAAAATTTGAAGGAGTGGATGTATGTTATATTACTAATTTGGGGAAGGTATTCAATTATCTCTTTTACTATCTATTTATCTTTCCCGCCAAAATAAACATAAACATTGTTGTAACTTACCCGAAGCTACGCTAACTGCTGCAAGAATCACCAAAGTTACTCGTAGGAAAAACATCTGAAATTTATAATTCGTTCAATTCGTTCAATTGTTCACATTAATTTAAGTTATATGCGTATGACATAAAATTGTTTGATAACAAATGCAAAGTTGGTGGCATTTATAGAAGTAAAGGTGATAAGAAAGTTCGGGGGTTATATGATTAAAGTCAATAAAATCTTTAGTTTCCTTGTGCAAAATTAGATTATCGCCGATTGGAGTAGTCTTAAGTTCTGTGATCCCTTCTGTAGGCCTGTGTATTACGCAATTTTCAAGGTGCAATAATATCAAAACAGCAAAAATAATAAAAACAAGAGACGTGACATTTCATTCAAAGAAAAGCGTCGCTGATAGCAAATATATCTATTGTTTCGTTGCTTTTAATAGAAAATGGGGATTTCAAGGCGAATCAAACCAATATCTTTACAGAAAATCCACAGACTTTATAACAGAGATTTTCGTCATAGCATTTTAAACATAGATCACGCACTTGTGTGTCCATGCTGTGTTAGCATTTTGTATTCATAAAAATTTCCAAACAACCTTCACAATAACAAATTTGAAAAAAAAACTCGTGCTGAGTCCATGAAGACGAACGCAACCTAGAATTTGTTCTTGAATAGGTCTATATTTGTTCTTGTTTTCACTTATATTTTTATTTAAAAACCTTTTTAAAAAAGGAAATCTTTCCTAGTACTTCATTCAGTAAATCCCTATTGATTAAGTACCCAAATCTTAAATATATGAGTACAAGGGAAAGGTTATGCATTTTCCTTAAAATTTCTATATGTTTAGCATTGAAACAACAAAAGGGTACGTCTACATAATCCTTTGAGTTACATCAACTTTAAAATTGTTTTGTAAAACTTAAAAAAACCCATTGTTTTATAAATATTTGAAGAAAAAAAACATTTGTAAAGGAACTACATATGATTTATAAGTATGAGTTCATGCTATAAGGTAAAATAAATGTGAATCTTTTATGACAAAAAATTGTCGTTTCTTTGTCATCTATTTAACAAACAATTGGTTATTCGTCTTTCCTGTTCGATATAGAATAATCGAATACTCGCGAATATTCGTCGAGTGTGTTATTTACTTACATTGTGGTTCGTAAAAAAAAAAATCCACTACGTTTAATTATTCGTTGATGTTAGGAAAATTCTTATACTGTTCAAGACATAAACTTCTGTACATTATAACAACATTTCACAATGGATAGAATACAAAAAAAAAAACGTTCATTGTCTTCTGCTCAGCACTCTTTGTAAATAAGGCAACTGTAGTTTACCGATTTTTAAATCCCGTAAATCGTTTAAGCTGAGGCAAATCAATTGTTACAAACAAACTGATGGAATCGCGTGAATTCGCCAGCAACATGTGCATTGGTTTAATCCTCACGAATGCATCAAAGTATTTAAGCACTCGGGTCTGAAATTCGTAATCTGTGAATGAAAGTGATCTGATATTATTTTCAATTTTTGATTTTAGTAGATTGACATTTTGCACTTTCGTGTCATTCGCCTTAATAAAATCGTTGAGTATTAGTAAGCATACGGTAAAAAAAAATGCACAAATCGGTCATTTTTACATATACGACAGAGAAATATAAAAGCCGAATTTAAAAAAATAACAAACACTGACATACAGAAGAAGAAGAAGAAGAAGATATTTTATTTCCAATTATGGGCCCCAAAGAGCATAAACATTACAACATCAATAATTTTCATAATACAATACAAACAATGAGATAAAAAAAAAAAGATTAATGAGAACTATTTAAGTTCTTAAAGAATACGTAGATAAAGAATCTATAATATTATTTTTAAATATCTAATGCAGTGTGTTTGATATAGACATATACAGGCATTTTGATTAGGGTCAGGCATTTAAAGAATATAACATGTTTGTGGACGCTCAACGCTCCCCTAACCAGTGACAGTGTTGTGACAGCACAATGTTTCAACAAAAATGTAAAAAGTAGTTGGAAAGGGGTTGTCTTATTAAATTGACATAATGCACAAACACAACTTACAAAAGAAAAAAAAAGACACAAAGAACCGATTTAGACTAGTTGAAAGTCCTAATAATTAAACAAAGTTTCCTAAACTGAAATATTGCACTGAAAGACCTGTTGCAACACATAGGCAAACAGCTATTGTCTACATAGAAATTGTTTGTTTTGAAACAATTTGTGTTTTTATTCAGTTTCTTAGGGATAAGAGTTTTCCGAACCAATACTCTTCTTTAGCTGTCGATTGATGTAGTCAAATTCTCAAAAATTTCCTAAGTTCTTTCAAAATACCAATTGATACACATTTTCCATTGGTTTTCTCCGGAGATCTTTAAACTTTCTTACACCAATTGACATACTTATAGATTTGACCTACTAGTAACACACTTCGCCTACACAAGATCTGATTCCCCAAGATTATATTTTCTTTAAATCTTTTTTTTAATAATTCCTCAAAAATATTCTACAAAGTATGTGGTCTCTGGCTTGTAAAAGGCAACACCTCGTAAATAAATCCAGGATAAACCAGGGATTATATTTTTCGAGCATCTATTTCCTCTTGTTGACACATGATAATCTATCTTCAAATATGAAATATACAATTGCCCAGAGATTCCGTTTGTTTGTTTAGTATTTTCGCGCTATCTCTAAAAGATCGGACGTTTTTTTAAAATCCTTCCACTATGGGTGTCTTAACTCAGTTTAAAGTGACGTCAAGTTGCGATTTAAATGAACGTCATATTTCTAAGCTAAAATAGTTTTTACAACAAGAATATAGATATCATAAATTTATTAATACTTTACTTCAGCTAATCACAAATATAGACATTTATGGAGTAATTATGATTCGCATCGGCAATGTAATTCATAAAGCTAACAAGGTTAGGAATTGTCCTTTAAAATCTTTTTGGCTCTTAAGACTTATTGAAAATGGTTGTATTGTACTGTTACGTCTGATAATTTTGGTATATACACCACTAAGCTTTAGTTCCGGTTTATTAATGCGTTGAAATTGTGCTATAACAATAAAGTAGAAGCTTGTCCTGTATTGATTTTTATTGAATGTTATGAGGCGTGCTGACCCACTGTTCACTGATCAAAACTAAAAAAAGAAGGGTTAACATTTAAAAAAAAAAATCAGGAATCTCGTCAGTAGTTTCCTTATTTCTTGTCTTAGAGCTAATTTCCTAATGCTTGTAGAGTAAAACTTTGGATGTCTTGCTCTACATGCGTTTGGAAATTAGCTCTAAAATTTGGTTGTTTTTTGTTTTGAGTATTTGGTATTGATAACTATATTTGATACTTTTTTTAAATAAATTTTCAATATATAAGGGTCATTAGAACATAACATATACTATAGACACAATGATGACTTCTATATGTTAGTAGACTTTTTGCATTGCTCATATACTAGTATGTCAAGTAATAATTCTCTTGCGAAATTTTTGAAATGTATCTGTATGGAAATACAGTACGCTGATTTGATATCGAAATAAGCAATCTTAACTAGATGGACAATTCGAACTTATTATTTAACGAATTATAATAATTGATAACAACGCTCTTTAGAAATCTAAGTAAAGATGCGTTTTAAGACCTTTTAAATTAATGATCATGCTATTACTGAACTTAGTAACGCTGTGTTGCCAACGGACATAGTACGTAAGCACCTTGATTCTCATATTTGAAATGAATAATAAAACTATACAGGAGGGCGTAGAATACCCCTTAAAATTCTATACGGTATATCAACAATTTGAAATAGGAGTTTTTATCGCAGTTTTTGTCCATATTTTTATAGAATAAACAATCCCAAATTAAATATTCGATAGTGCAACGGATCATGATTCCGATTGTTTTAACATTCCATTATTACTTGATTTACATTAGTTAAAACGAACAACTCATGTCATCATCAAATCAGCATAACTTTATTTCCAATACTTAAAATGTTGAATGACAGTAGAACAGGTGAGAACTTGTACATACTTGAGATAAGGAAAGTCATCCAAAGGTCTAAACGTTCATGCCAGTATGTATGTCAAGGTATAAATATGGCATATTATTTGACCTTATTTTCAAGTACAAGAAAGGGCACGTCCTCATACAAGAACAAAGACAAGGAAAACTTTCGAAAAACGAATAACCCATGACATATGTCTGAATCAATGGTTGACATTAGCAAAACAAATACGGTTCTTTAACACACAAAAAGTATACTTGCTTATTTTGTGTATATTCCCTTTAGTCCCCGTACTGTCAAACTGCGCGTAATGCACAACAAGTACTACTTTTAAAACAACGAGGTCATAAGGAAGTATTTATGATTTTGAAATTGCATGTTAAAAAAAAATCCCGTTAAAATTTAAGAAAGGTGCATAATCATTATATACCTCGTAGAATATTCATATACACGCAAGCTTATGTAATACAAAATTTTTTGAGGGCGATGTTTACCAACAATTAGTGATGCACATGTAGTTTATACAAAATGTTTCCCCAATGAACTAACATTTAACAAGGAAAACTATTAACAATTTTAACAGTCTGGGTGATAAAGCATACTCCATGTTACATGTCAATCAAGTACGGAAATATATCTCAATTTTTAAGAGTGGAATGATGTCGGGATAATTCAACATTTTTTACAAATTTTAAGCATAACATTTTAATGTTATTCAGGCTTATCCATTTTGTGAAAACAATTTTGATAGAAAATTTCAAATTGTGAATTTGTGTCTAAAATTTTGCTCTGAAGGGCATCTACTTTACAAAACATTCGAGAGCCGACTAGACAGTGGATAAACACCGAGATGAAATATAACTATAGAGCAAAAGCTGACACAGGATCGGAACCGAAACAAGTCAGCAAATAACTAAAGATCTGAGCAAGGTCAGTGGAATGATTCATCGCTAGTTACAGACTATGTAAGAAGTAGGAAAACGAGTTACTTTATCAATTTGCTTTCCTTCAACAAAATTAGGGTTAGCTTTGTGATGTCCTTCATTTATCATTGTCGAGCCTTCGACTTTTGTCGAAAAAGCGAGACATAGCGATCCTACATTCCGTCGTCGTCGTCGTTGTCGTCGTCGGCGGCGTCCACAAATATTCACTCTGTGGTTAAAGTTTTTAAAATTTTAATAACTTTCTTAAACTATCCTGGATTTCTACCAATCTTGGACAGAAGCTTGTTTATGATCATAAGATAGTATCCAGAAGTAAATTTGTAAAAAACAAAATTCCATTTTTTCCGTATTTAACTTATAAATGGACTTAGTTTTTCTGCCAGGAAACATTACATTCACTCTGTGGTTAAAGTTTTTAAAATTTTAATAATTTTCTTAAACTATCCTGGATTTCTAAAAAACTTGGTCAGAAGCTTGTTTATGATCAAAAGCTAGTATCTAGAAGGAAATTTTGTTAAAATTTTGTACCTGTTTATCCGTATTTTACTTATAAATGGACTTAGTTTTTCTTCCAGTTAACATTACATACAGTCTGCAGTTAAAGATTTAAAACATTTATTAGATTCATAAACTATCCTGGATTTTTACCAAACTTGGACAGAAGCTTCTTTCAATCAAAAGATAGTATCGAAAGGAATATTGTTATTATTTTTTTCGTCATTTTTGTTGAGCCTGCGATTAACAGCAAAAGTAGGCGAGACACTGGGTTCCGCGGAACCCTTACAATTTTTTTTTTATATAAATCCTCCGAGTTTTTTGAAATATAAAAAGTTTGCCGTTTTGCATATTAAATGTTAATAATATATAAACAAAGGTACCACGATCCTGGTGTATTGCAATCTGATAAACATTCAGACCTAATAAAGGCAATATTAACTCGCGTGAGGATAACGAAATCGGAGAATTATATGTTAATTAAATTGGGTTTATGGAATTTAATGTAGTTTTTGGAAACTAATAGCAGTTTGGAAAATTTGAGGCTGGTGGCAGATATTTTATAGTTTCGCTGAGTTATTCGTTCATAATAATTTTAGACTCGGAGCAATTTAGAACTTGGCATAGTGCATAGAAACAAACCTGTCTTTTGTTGCGCTTATATAAATTCTAACTTCTAGATGACATGAAGTTACATACATGTATGTGGTTGGTTGCTGGCTCACTGACATATACTTCACATCTCATTTTTTTAATATATGAATTGTGTTATATAAATAAGATACATAAAACATTTTGCTTGACTCTGTAAAAGTGAGAAAAAGAGCGCAGTACGAAACAAAATGCATGCTTTCTAAAATAAAAGCATTCTGCAGAAGAAAAAATATGCCATGTTATAAAAGCTACATTATGCACAAATATCTCTAATGAAGAACATCTAAAATTACTGTATAGTACCTTTGCTATCCCATGCGTTGACCTTACTTGTCGGTTTGGGAATGGAGATCTGATGGTGACCTCAAAGTTTATCTATCTACTTATTCGCTGCCTTATCTCTTCAGCTAAGTCAGGGATTATTTCATTTTTGTCTCGTTTTCAATACTTATGTTGTCAGTCAGAATGTTAATGCAGGGATTTGTGTGTTATGAATATTTGATTTAAATTATCAATATCTATAATAACGCTAATATAGCTGTGGAATTTTATTGCTGAGGTAGGTATTCACTCGAAATATGGGACTAAAATGTTTCCATTAAAAATGTGCTTCTGATCAGGAGTACGAAAGACAATATGCACTTTTGTGATAGCTTGATGCACGTATACTATGTTAAATACTGTTATCAAAGTTCAAGTTGTATTATAATCAACTGCAGTTTTTGGTCGTTATAAAATTCGTGTCTGAATGATACAAGTAAAAGTTCAGTCGGTACCATTGTTTTAAGGAGGGATATCCTTTTGCGAAAAAAATCATTTGCTCCAATAATACGTGTGCGCCACTCGTTTCAAACTAACTATAGTAACATTTGCGCCAAAAAACCTAGATCAAGTTTTTTGTTTATTTTTAAACTCCATGTCGCTTCTTTGCATCAGCAGCTTACACTGATCAAGATTAAGAAATTAAAATTATACAATTGAAGAAAAAACCCTATTTAGTCAGATTTAACATCGTCTCTACGGCATGTCTCATTTTCATTCTGCTGGAATTTGTCTGCACTGTTCAGCTGTATATACGATACCAAAACAGTCTTTTGTTGTGCCACGCCACTTTATTCATCCGTTCTAGAGCATCCGGTTTATAAAATTTTGAATTATTATAAACACTCATGTTTGTCTACCCCAAAATACAGATGGCTTTAGGCGTATTTACCACAAATTCTCTGAATTTTTGTCTTCCAATGGTCTTCAACTTTGTATTTGATTTAGCTTTTTTATTCGAGCGCCATGCACTGATAAATCTTAAACAGACGAAACACGAATGGCGCAACAAAATGTATGCTTGGTTTATGTGATGAGTTTTTACAACCACTTTACAAAACAATCGTAAACTGTTGAATTTAAGGTATAATGCCTAACTAAGGATTGAAGTATGCAGCAGATAAACATTAATGATTTGATAAATATGCATACAGGTAATTTGGCTCGAATGATTTCCGTGTTATGGCGCAATTGATACCTTTGAAAAATTCTATTTGGTGCAAATGATTATAAAAATAGCAATTAGCGCAAAAGGACTTGGTGTGTTCTTTTCATATAAAAAAAATAATTTTAACATTACGCTATTTCTTTAATGTGCATAGCTAATATATTTTGTCGTTTATCTGATCAAGTTTAACATGTCAATTTTATTTTTATGTTTTTTTTTTGGCAATGGGGGCACTAAGTGTTACCCTTGACCGTCCGTCCTTCCGTCCGTCTTTCTGTCCTTCCGTCTGTCCCCTTTTCGTTTCCGCACTCTAACTTTAGTTTTCCTCATCAAAATTCTATGAAACTCATATACAATTTTAAGAACAAAAACTCACAGTTAGAGTTCGAATTTGGGCAGTGAATCACTCACCGTTCTAGGATTATGCTCCTTTATAATTTTGAATATTGCAAATTAGTTAGTTTCCGCACTCTAACTTAAGTTTGTCTCATCAAAATTTAAAGAAACTCATACACAATGTTATGAACCACAACACACAGACAGAGTTTAAATTTGGCAGTATGCCATTAACCGTTCTAGAGTTATGCCCCTTTATAAATTGGAAAATTGCAAATTTTGAAGTTTCAACACTCTAACTGAAGTTTGTCTCATCCAAATTTGATGAAACTCATACCCAATGCCAAGAACCACAACACACAGTCAGAGTTCGAATTTGGGCAGTGAGTCATTTACAATTCTAGAGTTATGCCTCGAAAATAATTTAAATAAAAATAAAAAATATATCGATACAAACTTCCCTTGTGTAGACCTTCAGGCTGGAGGTATAAATAACAAAGTTAGTATCCCTAACTTCTTTTAAATTCTCAAACTGATAAGTACATACTTACAACTCCTGGTCCAATCAAATTGCTTGAATTTGCCTTCTACGTTTCATAGTACATACTTTTCCCGTTTACTAAGTAACTATGAATGAATGACTACAAGGGTAGGATTCCGTTGTATTGTAATCAAGATATTAAGAACAAAACTTTAATGTGCCACTAGCTATTTTGGAATAAAATTGTGTGTCCCAAGTATATGTAAGAGAATGATAATCTTTTTCATCATGAATTGAAAACCCGTGATAATGTCTTTAGGGAATGTGCCACCTGTATCTATATTCTGAGAAAGCTTTTAGTTTTTACTTAGAATTAAAATAAAACCAAACCTCTAATCTAAAAATTGATCAATTGGTATATTTCTCTTATTCAAGATAGCTTTAGTTTTACTGTGAAATTGAAAAATATTTTAAACACATGACATGTAGAATGCCTAATCCCACTGAACTATACAAGACTGTTTTGGTCAATTTATTTCGTCATCTTAACATGTACTTGAAGAAACAGACATCTCAACATACATACTTACACCAGCAGCTACCATCGTTTCATTCAGGAGTCAATGGCCTTTTAGATTCGACATTGTTTAAGTTTGATTGACATATAAACTGTCATGTTCCCAATTAGTGTTTGCTGCATTTATAAACTCGAGAGCTGGTAAATCACTGTCACAAATTGATCAAATATAACAGCTATGACAGCTATGATGCTAGTGAGTAAATTTACATAAAATAAAACATAGATAATGAGCTCCGTTTTTACGTTGTGAAACAAGTAGTCATCAAAATAAACTATCAATAGACCAATTATTAACACATACTTACAACTTCTCGTCCAATCAAATAGCTTGAATTTGCCTACTCATTTTCATAGTACATACTTTTTCCGTGTACTAAGTAACTACGCATGAATGACCACAAGGGTAAGATTTCACTTTAGAAAAACTCACCCCTTCTCGTCCAATGAAAAGTCAGTTTTTTCTATTCTAATTTTCATAGTACATGGCTCTCCATGCACTATAAAATGCTTTACATGAATGACTTTTCACTGTAGATTAATTGTGAAAGGGAACTCTTAATAACTACACTAACGAAGTGTACAATCATCTGAGTACTACTGATTAAAGATGAAAGAGAATAGAATTATAAAAAATTTTGCAAATGTTTATCATGGTACATATATATAACAAACAAAAAATGCAATGGGGGCAAAGATGTAGGTAAAATAATAGCATCTGATGTTGAATGGTTGTAATTCAAATATTTATAGAGTGAGTTTTATAATTATCAAAAAATATACAAATTTCAAAAAGCTGATTTATATGACACTGTGTGCTTTTTAAAATCAAGAAATTTAAGGTATATAAGTATTAAATTTTACCTGAAGCAGAAGAAAACTCAATGTTTGAACAATTTATCCTTTTTGTCCTCACAAAACTATGTTAGTGCTATTTCATTCCATCCATTGAAATGATCATTACCTATGTTATACATTCCTTTTGTTAACCTAGTTAACACTTCATTATAAAAAGTGAATTTTTATCAAGGTTTGAATATTAAAACGGGAAAGGAGTTTTTGTAAGGTCACTCGAAAGTGTTAATATGTTCTAAATTGGTCAGACAATACTTGGTCATGTTTTATGAACATTTAAAACCCTCGGCTACGCCTTGGGCTTTAAATCTTCATAAAACATGACCAAGTATTGTCTTACCTTTACGTATCGGAATCAAGATATTAAAACAAAAATTGCCACTGGCTATTTTGAAATAAAATGATGTGTTCCAAATTAAATTAAATAGTTTGTAATTAGTTTTCACATTGATTTTTACACCCAATTTGCAATAACCTTGACAAATCTCACTACTAGCCTTGTTTGTAGTCTGCTCGACTGTCTTTGTAACAGTAAATTTGATCCGGTAGTAAAATTTGTCCGCCGGACTTTTTTTCCTAGGTAATCAAGTCCGTGACCGTAATTTTACTAGGAAATTAAGTCCCTGGATAAATTTTCCTAGGAAAATAAGTCTGTAGCTAGTAAAATATGTCTGGCACCTATTTTCCTAGGAAAATATTTCTGTATTCTCCTTTTTTGTATGAAAAAAAGTCTCTTTAGAAGTTTATTTCTTAAGACATTACTTAAATTAATCAATATCAAAATCAAGAAAGGAACATTTGTGATTTCCGTTTAATTATTAAAAAACACCCATATTTTGATAAAATAGTGAGATATCAATGCACAACTGTTAAACAATTTAAAAACATATAAGTTACAAATTCCATTGTTTACATGTAAATTATTTCTTTCATTACAAAATTTCCTATAAAAATAAAGGACATGGACGTTTTTACCTAGGAATATTAATGGCCTGGACATGAATTCCTAGGAAAATTAGTCTGGGCAGATAAATTTTATTAAAAGATTAATGCACAACTGTTTAACAGCATTGAAACATAATTCAAAATTCCATTGTTCACATGTAAATGATTTCTCTCATTACAAATTGTCTTATCAAAATAATGAACATGGTTGTGTTTACTTAGCAATATTAATGGCATGGACAGGATTTCCTAGGAAATTTAGTCTGGGCACATAAATTTTATTAAAAGATTAATGCACAACTGTTAAACAACATTAAAACATAAGAATTAAATATTCCATTGTTTACATGTAAATGATTTCTTTTATTACACATTTTCCTATTAAAATAAAGGACATGGACGTTTTTACCTAGGAATATTGATGACATGGACATAAATTCCTAGGAAAACGAGTCTGGGGACATAAATTACTGACATCGGACTAAATATACTAGTAAATTCTGTAACCATGGACTTTTTATACTAGTAATATTTGTCCACCCGGACACATTTTACCAGGACTAATTTATCACTTACATCTTCTCTACTACTTGATTGTCTATTATTGTCCTTTGTATCCCAATGAATTCTTTAGAAATCTATTTAGTA